GAAACAGGGCTTGGGGCAAAGGGGGGATGGGGAGTCAGAGACAGACCCGCACACACAGAGACACAGACCCACACACACAGAGACACAGACACAGACCCACACACACAGAGACACAGACACAGACCCACACACACACAGACCCACACACACACAGACCCACACACACACAGACCCACACACACACAGACCCACACACACACAGACCCACACACACACAGACCCACACACACACAGACCCACACACACACAGACCCACACACACACAGACCCACACACACACAGACCCACACACACACAGACCCACACACACACAGACCCACACACACACAGACCCACACACACACAGACCCACACACACACAGACCCACACACACACAGACCCACACACACACAGACCCACACACACACAGACCCACACACACACAGACCCACACACACACAGACCCACACACACACAGACCCACACACACACAGACCCACACACACACAGACCCACACACACACAGACCCACACACACACAGACCCACACACACACAGACCCACACACACACAGACCCACACACACACAGACCCACACACACACAGACCCACACACACAAATCCACACACGGGCAGGCACACACACAAAGAGACACACACACACAAGCAGAGAGACACACAGAGAGACAAACACACATACCCTTCAGCAACAAGCACAGAAAGGCAGAGAGACAAAGATACACACGCACTTAGAGACAGACACACACTCCAGGAACACACAGATACACAGACACAGCCTCCAGAGACACACACACAGACACTCCAGCAAGAGCCAACCTCCACCCCTGTATCACACACACAAACACACGGTGCCATCCTCCCAAACACAGCTACACCCTAGTGCGCACACACTCCCTGAGAAAAGACACAGAAACACACACATGGCCCAGGTGTCTGTGGCGTGTGTGTGTGTGCTGGGTGGTGGGTGAAGTTGTCCCCATTTCGTAGGAGTGTGTGTTTGTGTACAGAGGGTGTGTGGATGACTGTACATCTGGGATGTTTGTGTCTATGTCTGTGAGTGGGTGGGTATTTACATGGCATTGTGTATGTGACTGAGTGAGTACATGGTGTGTGGGTTTGCACGTATTGTCTGTCCAGGGGCACGCCTGGTGTGGTGATGTGTGAGGTACACATGGGGCTGGTGTGTATGGTGTGGGTTGGATGGTGCATGTGGCCCTGTTCAGGGCTGTGTGGTATGGCTCTGTTTGTGGATGGTGGTGTGCCTTGCTGGGTGTGCATTCCCACACCTCACCCACCCCAGCCCTCTGTCCACACCACAGATTAACCCCTTCCTTTCCTGTCCCAGGGACAGTGTCAGCCTGCAAGGCTGCTGCAGGGAGGCCTTAGGGGGTCGCACCCAATTCCAGGACAAACACCGCAGCGATGGGAGCTCACCTGCTGCTTTTCCGAGGCAGTGGCAGGTCCTTCTGCAAAACAAGACAGGACAGGAAATTACTCCTGGGCCATTCCTGAGCTCACACCACACAGGGGTCTCCCGCCTGGAGCTAACAGGCCGGGGCCCGGTGGCTGTTTATAGAGGGATCCCTCTCCCAGAACTGAGATGCAGCCACTTCTGGGGTGAGGCACAGGAGCTGTTTATACAGGGACCTTTGGCCGGGTACTGAAAATCGGTTGCCTCTGGGGTGCAGTGAGGGGGCTGGTGACACAAGGAAAACCCTGTGTTTTCTTGTTACTGGCAGGAGCCAGGAGAAGATACAAACAAGATTCAACCCAGTTGGTGTGAATTCGGGATATGGGTCTCAAACCCCCACTTCTCGTGACCAAGCTTCGGGGTTCCAGCTCATTTGAAAGGCAACAGCAATACAGAGCCCCATAGCCTGGCGCAGGGGCAGGGGGCCCAGTCCTGCCAGGCAGTGGAGAGTGCACCCGACGGAGTCCCCCTCCCCAAACCAGCTCCTTAGGGCCGCCCTGGGCAGGCTGAACAGGGAAGTGCCACCAGCTGATCCCTCCATTCTGCTGCCTGCAGCACACCCTCCCCTAGCACCCTCTGGGATCAGGACAGAGGGGAGAGCGCCCCCTGCTGAGCCTCCTGCCCTGCCCCCTTGGACTGTCCCATCCACACTGACTCTGTCTGGCCAGCAGCAGCTGCAGGGGGCGAGGGGGGATGTGGCCAAGGGCCCTGATTGCAGTAACCGGCCGCCGCAGCAAAGAGCTTTAAAACACCCGGCTGCCTCCTCACGGGGCCTGGCGCCCTGCCTGTCCGTCTGACTGTGTCTGCCTGTCCGTCTGACTGTGTCTGCCTGTCCGTCTGACTGTGTCTGCCTGTCTGTCTGAGTCCTCTCCTGGCTCCAGCCAGGGCTGACTGGCCTGAGAGCTCTGAGCGCAACCCACGTCAGGAGTTCAGCAGAAAACATTCTGGGACGTCCCCATCCTGGGAGGGACCAGGAATCTGTTCCCTGCCCCCAGTATGAATTTTGCATCCCGCCTTCCCCAAGCCCCCAAACGCCCAGATCTTTACAGCACCTTGGAGGGCCTGGACCCAAGCGTCTCAGACTCGGAGCCAACAGGACAAAATGGAATCTCTAGCAGAGCCACAGTTTATAGCGTGACCCGAGGCCGACAGACATCTCGCTCATTGGACATGTAAGGGGTCAATGAGGTGAACTCCACTGGGTGCTGAGCCCCCCTGCTCTCCGCTCTAACCACTGTACCCCACTCCCCTTCCCTCCTAGAACCAGAACCCAGCAGGCTTAGCTCCCAACCCCCTACTCTATCCATCAAACCCCACTCTCCTCCCATCTGTGGGGATAGAACCATGGGGTCCTGGCTTCCCCACTCTAACCACTAGGCCCCACTCCCCTCTCCAAGCCCTGACTTGAAACAACAGCTCTTCCCCATTCTCTGTAACACCCTTCCCACAACCATTCACCACAAGTGTAAATTCCAGCTGCAGGCCCTGTGATCTGTGTGGCTTTGAGTAGGGCAGGGCCAGGGTGCCTCTGGGGAGCCTGGGACCAGTGACACCCAGGGAGTGGAAAGGAAATGGACTCGCTCCAGGCCCCTGCCTCCACCCCCCAGGGAGACAGGAAATAGCTGTGTGTGCGTGTGTCTGCTGTGCATGTACTGATGTGTCTCTCTATGTGTGCACACATGTGTCTCTCTGTGCATGTGCATATTTGTGCATGTACATATGAGTCTCTGTGTGCACACGTGTCTGTGCGGTGCATGCATGTATGTGTCTCTGTGTGTGCACACCTGTGTTCATGCATGTGAGTATCTGTGCATGTCTGCACTTACGTCTGTGGCTATGAGCACGTGTTCATGCATGTGTCCACGGGTGCATTTGTGTGTGTAGGCATGTACATCTGCTCATGTGTGGTTTTGTGTTGGTGTGCATGTGTGTATCTGTGTGTGTGTTTAGGTGTTGGTGTGCATGTGCGTGCATATGCTAGTGTAAGAATGTGTGTGTGTGTGTGTGTGTGTGTGTGTGACTTGGAGGATGACTGCATGTGTGGATGAATGCCAGGGTAAGGGAGAACGGGAGTGCAAGGATGTGTAAACACAAAGGGGTGGAGTAGTGTGGGTACGAGGGGGATGAAAAGAGGAAGCGGGGGGCTCTGGGGAACACTCACTGGTGGGGGTGCATGCATGTGTGTGTTTATGTGTGTGAATTCTTCCACCTCGATTATTGTACAGAACAATTCCCCTTATATGTTCCTTTCCAGCGCTTGGTGGGGTAGTCTCTAATTGTGTGTGCGCAGCCTTTCCCTTTGTGTGTAAAATTCCCCAGAGCAGGCACCACAACCCACCATGTTTGGAATAAATCTGTCTGCCTGTGAGTGAGATTTCCATGTGTCTGTGTTGGAAACTATTCCCTGAGTCTTTGTGACGTTTCTGTGTATCCTTGTGCAAAACAATGCCGTGTGTGTGTGTGTGTGTGTGTGTGTGTGTGTGTGTGTACACTCCCCAGCCAGCCCTTGACATGTGTGCACGGCCCCAGTGTACAACACCCTCACCCCCCACGTGTGTGCACTGCCCCCCATGCACAACATGTGTCTGTGTTGGAAACTATTCCCTGAGTCTTTGTGACGTTTCTGTGTATCCTTGTGCAAAACAATGCCGTGTGTGTGTGTGTGTGTGTGTGTGTGTGTGTGTGTGTACACTCCCCAGCCAGCCCTTGACATGTGTGCACGGCCCCAGTGTACAACACCCTCACCCCCCACGTGTGTGCACTGCCCCCCATGCACAACCCCCTCACCCCCCACGTGTGTGCACT